GAAACGTAAAAGAATTCAATCAAAAGCAGCAGTAAATGAAAAATAGTTAGAAAACAAGTGAAAATCTCTTTTGAAAATGAGAAAAGACTCTAGAACAGTTTTGGAGCATAGGGAGAAATCAGTGCTGAAATGCAATTATACACATTAGAGCACACTATAAAAGTGTTTTGGAATCAGTGAACAACTGCTGTAATCTCTATAAGAAATCACCCAGAATTACCAAAAGCTGCAGTAAACTGTAGGAAATACTTTGAAAACAAGTTTACATTCTTGAACCAATGGTTAAAAAACAAAACTAAATGCTCTATGTGATGAAAAAGCATATAAAGGAGTTTGGAAAATGTGGGATGTCCCAGCGATGGAACAGAAAGCATACTATAACTGTGATAGAAACCACTCTGTATTGACAGAAACACAGCAGTAAACAATACAAAATCTTTGGACAACAAATGTACACCTTCCTCACTATTACAAAAGCATGAAGAAAGGTATTTATACAATGTGGGAGAGTCAAGTAAAAGCTGTAACCACACTAGATCACAATGTTAGAAGCCCTAGGTGTTCTCTAAAAATCAGCAGTGACATATACCTAATAGAGAGAAGACAAGTAAATTCACTTAGAAATGTGAGGAAAGAGTCTAAAGGGTGTTTGTACAAGGTGATTGAATAAAACACACACACACACACACACACACACACAGACACACACACACACCAAAAAAAAAAAAAAAACTAGCAGTGTGTGTACCATGACACAGAGTTGGAAATCAATGAGAAATCACTGAAAAGCAGCAGTTATTTATACAAGCTTATTGGACAACAAATAAAAATCATATCACTGTATGTGAAAAGAAAATGGAAATGTGTTTGTACAGTTTGATGATATCCAGGAAAGAGAGCAGAAATCAGAGTTAGAAACCTCGAAGTACTCATGGAAAAGCAACAGTAAACTATGCAAAGCTTTGGAAAACAAGTGTAAATCCTTTCTCAATATGAGCACAGAGGGAAGAAAGAAGTTGGTACAGTTAGTGTGAGAAAATCCAGTGTAAAGAGCAGAAGGCACACTGTACTGCAGTCTAAAAATCCACTGAGAATAATACAAAGCAGCAGTAAACTGTAGGAAATAGTTGGAAAAGAATTTTAACTCATCAATTTAACTCAGGAAATGGTGAATAAAGATTTTGGACAAGGTGTGGAAATATTTAAATACAGCAGGAAGCATAATATAACACAGTCACAAAAACTGTAGAAAAATAAATTATCTACACTTCTAAGTGAGGAAAGAATGTAGAAAAATGTTAGTAAAATATACAGATATCCATGAAATAAAGTAGTGTGCAAACTGTATATCTAAAGAAACCACTCTGTGTTCACTAAGATGCAGCAATAACTTACACAAAATAGTTGGGGAAAAGGTGTACATCATTTCTCACTGTGAGGAAAGAGTAAGAATGGATTTTTACAATGAGGGAAAACCCTCTGTAAAGAGCAGAAAGCACCCTTTACACCAGACTAAAAAATCACTGAGAGCTGAGACCGTTTTAACTCAATGGATAGAGCATCGGCTTGGGGACTGAAGGGTCCTGGGTTCAATTCCTTTCAAGGGCATGTACCTTGGTTGTGGGCATATCCCCAGTAAGGGGTGTGCAAGAGGCAGCTGATCGATGTCTCTCACTCATCGATGTTTCTAGATTTCTATCCCTCTCTCTTTCTCTCTGTAAAAAATAAAAAATCAATAATATATATATATATATATATATATATATATATATATATATATATATATATATGTATATATATATCACTGAGAATCATGCAAAGCACCAAATTGTAAATATTTATCAGTGCAATGAAATGGTGAAGAAAGCTATTTGGGCAATAAATAGAATTCAGAAATAAGTCTCCCAAGAGCTTCCTTTTTCAAATATCCCGAGATATGATTCACTTGAATAACACAAGTCCAGTTTAAAACTTATATGTCCTGTCAGTCTGTTAATGAGACCTACTTCATTGACAGATTTCATGGGGGGGGTGAGAACATGGTATTTGCCTAGGAACCATTTACCAGCCATTGCACAGCTGCCACGAGAATGGGTAAGACTTGGTCCAAGGCCAGTCCTAAATGTTCCATGGGACCAAGAGGCTCCTTTCAAATCCCTGGGATGCCGACCAGGGTTGTGCAATGCAGAGGAGTAACTTCCACCCCAGTTCTAAGAACATTGTGCAAATCATAGCAGGCATAGCGGGGGCATTTCCTAAAGAATGCTTCAACTTATTTTTTAAACATATTTTATTTTATTTTTTTACAGAGAGGAAGGGAGAGAGAGAGAGCTAGAAATGTCGATGAGAGAAAAACATCAACCAGCCGCCTTCTTGCACACCCCCTACTGGGAATGTGCCCACAATCAAAATACATGCCCTTGACCAGAATCCAACCTGGAACCTTTCAGTCTGAAGGTCGATGCTCTATCCACTGAGCCTAACTGCTTTCGACATGCTACTACCTCTTTACACTTATTCTATCAGAGAGAACAGGGAAAAATCCCTTGCCCACACCCAAAGGATCCATTGAATATTCCAGGGTCCGCAGGCAATGCCCTTGGAACACATGTTTAAATAGCTGTTACACTAAAACCAAGGGGGAAATTTTGTCAGACACTCTGTTCTCAGAGACTTAAGTACTGTTTAAGAAGAAAACCATTTCATGTCAGTCCTGTAGCTCTCACATTGAAGTGAGTCCATCTCAATTTAAACCTACTAAAGACCTCCCCTAGTTAATGGTTGAGTTTTAACTGAGTCCCTTGAAATTTCCGTGGAGCTCTAAGCACAGGAAAAGAGGGTGTGAGTCAGCTGTATGTTATGTCTCCATATTCTTGACTGCATGTTTTAGAGGCACTTTATCTAGTGAATATTAGCTAAAGTAGACATCAGTCTGTGAGAGAACTGAAGTTGTTGTCTCTTCTGACAGGCCTATAAACATGATTTTGGAATGTAATGAGATGAGGATGTTAGTAGGGGAGGAGGGGGGCTTATAACTTACCCAGGGAGTGAGTTGGACCACCCATGAAGCAGATAAATAGGATATAACTATTGGTCGTGGTTCTGTGCGCAGTTACTTAGATTTGTAGAAACTAGACCTATGCTGACCGGGAATCTAATTAAGCTTTAAGGGATTGGGAGCAATTTAAAAAAATGGAAAAATTGGTTCCTTTTCTTTAGCAAATCAAAAATTTTTTTAGGAAAATAGCAAAGGTGTGGAAGGGGGAGTGCTTAAAATTGAGCCTTAAGGAGAAGAGTGAATGGGTAAGACTTATGGAAGAAAATTGTATGCTTATTTTTAAAAATATACAACTTTAATTCAGAGAGGAGTGGAGAGGGAGAGAGACAGATAGAAACACCAATGATGAAAGAAAATAATTGGTAGATTGCCTTCTGCATGCCCCCAATGGGCATTGAGCCAACAACCTGGGTATGTGCCCTTGACCAGAATTGAACCCAGGAACTTTCAGTCTGCAGGCCGACACTCATATATTGAAAAGAACCTGCTAGAGCTGTAAAATTATTTTTAAGCTTTCAAAATTCTAAGAAGCCTTTGATAAGAACAACAAAAAGTTGTTAACTTTAAAGGCATAATATGGTTTTGGAAATGCAAGGTAATTTCCAATTTTTAGAGACTAGTTTTGAAGTGTATCAGGGTGAAGAATTGTGATGTCTGGGGTTTGCCCCAGATACTTCTGAGAATGAGAAATCGATAACAAGAAGGGAAGAAAGAGGAAAAATAAAAATGGCAGAATCATAATTGCTGTGTCTGGTAATGAAAGGGGAATTCCTTCCACTATTCTGCTTTTGCACCTGAGTGCAAATTTCATGTACAGGTGGAGAGGTGTTAGTGCCATGAAATAGGTTAGGTTTTTGCTTCTAGTGGGAGGTTGAGGGGAAGCTGTGAGAATCCCAGCAATTCCCATTTTCACACAGCAGGTGCATAACATCAGTTACAATAATAATAGAAAACATGTAAATTGAGCATACCTCCTTGAAGCCCACAGCAATCAGGGAAGAGTATGCAAATTAACCTGACAAAGATGTTGAGCCTGTGGGCAGCAGGCATATGCACAGCCACCAAGGAGAGCAGGTCATGATGTTCACTGCAACTTTGGTGGGATGTGGTGTGCATTCCACTTCCACAGAGCTCTGGGCCTACACACACAGGCCCCGAACAGCCAAGGGCGGGTTAAGATGCCAAGCTTCCTATGTCAAGGAGACTTCACTGGATCGCCTGGTCCTGTCAGCTCTGCCTGGAGGTGGCTGGCTTTGATAGTCTTTTGGTTTGTGCATCCCAAGGATCAGAAGAGGAAACCAAGAACATGAGAGCACAAGGGATTCTGGGATTCATAGTTTGATGGCAGACACATTGTGGGATCTCCAAAACACTAGAGCAAAGTGAGCCTAGAACAAGTTACTGTTGTGATTAGGGGAATCCAGAAAAAGGAAAGGTGAGAGACCTAAGTCGAGTCACAGTCGTGAGGTAATGTTAAAGGAAAGATACCCTTCCACTTTTGGGAAATCTCCACCAATAGAAAAACAAACAAACAAACAAACAAACAAAAAACACAAACCTCTATTTAACTGTGAGAAACAAATCAAACAGGTTTGTGGGTCTCAGCCAATTCCCTTATATGATTTCAAAGACAGAAACTCCAGGATTGGAGAGGGTGCAGGTTGAACTGAAGGGCCCACCCCTGTGCAGAAATCTTTCTGCAACAAAACCCTCCTTTACCCAATAACAATAATGATGGCTGGACAGTGGTTGGTTTTGGGAAAAAAATTTAATGAAGTTCATTAACCAATCAATGAGCCCAATTTGGACATACAGCAAATGCCCACTTTCTGCTCAAGATGGCTTTGTGAGCCCTTGGAACTATTTCCAAGAGCATTACTGATAATACTGCACGCCTATAAGCTCCCCTTTGTGGATTTGCAAAGCTATGCAACTCGGAATTTCACACTTCTGAGGCCTCTGGTACACTTGGCTGTCGGGGGAGAAGCTGGTAAGACAGGGTAAACAGCCCACTCAGCAGTATCAGGATGGCAGCCAGAACTGCCACGGGGACTGTGCTTCCAATCTCCTGCCGGTGGGGCCTGAAGGGCATGTAGAAGGATGGTGGGAAGTGTATGCCATCTTCATTCATCACAGCATGATAGTTCCAGATCACAACAATGAAGATAAATACCCCAGCTATGATGCTCAGGGCTCCGGAAGCTAAGAAGAGATTGCAGGTGTTTTCCTTCTGAAGATGAGCCACACACACTCTCTGCAGACCCATGATGGTGAGCACTTTCCCCAAGAGAGCCAGGAGGTTGGCAGCCAGCAGCAGGTGCTGAGTGATGCGGATATTGAGGGGCAGATAGCTGTCACTGTAGGTGTAGCGGTGACACGCTATGGCTCTGCTCTGGAGGTTGTTGGACTGGTAAGTGCAGACCTTCCACATCCCTACACAGGCCAGCCCTGGGGAGGGGGCGGAGGTGCTCTCCATGTACCAAATGCGCCACTCGGCCAGGCCCATGCAAGTCATGGAGAAGATCCATCCTATGGTGGTGACAATGAATCCTGCTATTTGGCAGTTGGCACTGTGGATCAGCGAGGCCTTGGCCATGTATCCCAGGGAGCTGTAAACCAATATAGAGCATTAGTGTGGGACAAACCATCCTGGAACTGGCCCCTGGGAATCAGCGGGGCTATATTGGCTAGGGAAATTCCCAATTCCAGAATGGAGACACTTGAACCCCATGCTCTGCTGGGGAAGGGTCCTTGGGGAATTTTTACTGAAAGCCTTCAAATATGCAGACTTTCACCTTGCAGTATTCCTAAGTGGTTAGAGTGTCTTCCCAACAAGCCAAAATGGCTAGTTCGATCCCTGGTCAGTGCACATACAATAAGCAACCAATGAATGCATCAGTCACTGGAATACCAAGTCAATGTTCCTCCCTCCCTTCTTTCTTCCTCTCCTCTCTCTCTTTCCCCTTCCTGTCTCAAAAATCAACCAAAATATGTTCAAACTTTCAAACAGGAAGTTCCATTTATGGGTATTTGTGGAAAGAACGAACTAAGATTAGGAACAGATATTTTATGATAGATATGGTCATCAAAGTAGAGCTGTGTAACATTGAACAATGGTAAACCATGTCAAACCCAAAAGTAAGGTTTGGTGAAGTAATATATGCTACAACCATACAATGGAGTACCATACCAAATTTACAAGTGCAGCCAAGTTGCACCTGGTGTGATGTTGGTGTCTGGCCTATTTCACCTCACATAATGGTGTCAAGGTTCATCTGTATTGTAGCTCCTGGGAGCAGATCATTCCTTTAAATGGCAGAGCCATCTTCCATTGCATGGATGCTCCACAGTTTGTTTATCCCTTCATCAGTTTGGGAACAGTTAGATCCATTTGAAGTTTTGTCTCTTACAAATTCCATTGCTGTGAACATTTGTGTCTAAATCTCTACATGGGTGTATGTTCTCATTTCTGGAGTGTAGATAGGTAGGAGAGAGACCTGTGCATGGGTCATGCTGTCACTGTATGTGTGTTTAACTTTGAACAAAGTAATAAGTTGCCTCCCCTAGTGGCTGCTTCTTTGCAGAGAATGTAGGAACTACCTTTTGGGAGCTTTTTTTTTTTTTTTATATTCATGTTGGAATTTCTCCACACCTTCTCCAACATTTAGCAGTTTTTCATTACACAATGGAATAGTAGACACCTATCAAATAGAAGGATCTCTTACCCTTTGAAACGGCAAGGAGGGACCTGGAAAGTATCGTGCTAAGCAAAAGAAGTTAGTCAGAGAAAGACAAGGATCCCATGATCTCACTCTAATGTGGAATCTAATGAATTAATCAAACTAAGGAATGGAGTGAATCCAGAGACATGGAAGTATGGAACAGGGGGCAGTGTCTTGGAAGAAAGACAAAGGAAAGTGGGTGGGTGGGTAACAATTAACACAGGACCTTGTATGCATATGCAGAATTCATGAGCACAGACAATAGGGTGCTGGAAGCCCTCGGTTTTGGACAGGATGTACTGGAGTGGGTGGATGGTTGCAAAGGGGAACTCATGTAATCTTTCAACAATAAAGATATGAAACAATTGATGAACAAAATAAATCCAGAGACATGGAGGCATTGGAGAGAAATCCAAATCTCTGAGGAAAATTGTGTGTATGTGTGTGTTTGTCTGTGTGTGTGTGTGTTTGTGTGTGTGTGCGTGTAGTGGAGAGGGGGGGATGTGATGAGATTAATCATAGATTGTATATGCATAATCCCTGGATATAGGCAATAGTTCAGTGAATGCCTGGGGTTGGAGCAGGGTGGAGGGTGTTAATGGAACAGGGAAAGAGGACATCTGCAATTCTTTGAACCTTGAGGAGAAATTAAAAAATAAAATAAAAAATAAAATGTAATGTGACCAAAGGGAAGATGTCCACAATATACCATGGTAAGTGGCATGTTACAAACTTCTACAGACAGTGGGATCAGAGGGCCAATGAGCTTGAAAGTTATTAATGTTGTGCAGAATAACATTCATATAGAAAAATGGACCAAATCTAAGTGTACAGCTCAATGACCTGTCAATGACCAGCTCAATGACTTGGAAGTATGGAACAGAGGGCAGAGTCTTGAAAGAAAGACAAAGGAAATTGGGTGGGTGGGTGTCAAGGGTAATAGACCTGTCGCCACTGCTCAGCTTAGAAGAGATAATATCCCTGGTTTCTTGCTTGTTTTGGTTTCCCACCTCAGCAGGAATCCCCAAACATGGTGATTCCCTTGTGCCTCATTTTGAAGACAGGTTTTGTGGCCAGGGCATCCCTTTGTAAATGGCTTCCTATGCTCCCTGACCTCAGGCTATGACTTCAAAGAAAAAGGCAGAGCGGGAGAGAGAGAGAGAGGGAGAAAGAGAGAGAGAGATGCATCAATGAAGAGAGAGAATTATGGATCCAATGCCTTCTGAACATCCCCTTTGAGAATCAAGCCCCCAAAACAGGCATGTGCCCTGACTGGGAATTGAACTATGACCCTCTGGTTCATAGGCCTATGCTCAGCCATGGAAGGCAAACTGACCAAGCTGATTTTTTAAAATACTCTGGCTGTTCGAAAATTTCAGTTATTTGAAATGAGCATAATTTTTTGAAATAAAACTATAAATAAAAAACACCAAAAGAAAAAAAAAAAACTTAGGAAACAATGGAGTATTAATTTTAGTATACAAATATGTTGCAAAATTTTGTGTCATAAATTTGTTTCCTGTAGTACCAAGCAGACTTTAGAGAATAGAACTCAGTATCATGGGAAAAGGTCATAGTGGGTTGCATTTAAAATGAAAATAAGATCCCTGGTTGGTGTGGCTTTGCTCACTGGACATTGCCCTGTGCACCAAAAAGTTGCTGGTTTGATTTTTCAGCCAAAGCACATATTTGAGTGCCAGTATGGTCCCTTTTAGGGGGCATGCAGGAAGCAGCTGACAGATGTTTCTATTCTCTATTTTCCTTATTCTCTCTCTAAAAATCATTTAAAATTCATAATACAAAATTAAAAATAAACAAAATGAGGACAAAAAAGTATAAGTATGTAGCAGGATCTTATTTTTGCCCATTCTGAAATACACTGGGAAGATAAAATGAGATAGCATCTGCTGAGATTACCAGGCATATTTCAAGTTGAAAACACATGGTAGCCTTTACAAGCAATACAAGAATGGAAATGAACAAAGGGTGAACAGGAGTGGACATGGAAGCCAGTACCTGGAGAACTTTGGTGTTCGGGCTTTATTCTGAGGGGCCCCCAGTGGAAGGGACAGGAGGAGAGATCTTCTAGGCTGATACCAGAAATTCCTTCTCATGGCCAGATATTCATGGAAGATACCTTGTTTATAAAGTTCCTTCTTTCAGACCACACAACCCTCAACAAATTATGTTGAAGGAACACTTTAAATGGCATGTTGGGCCTGGTTGGTGTGTCTAAGTTGCTGATAAGGTTTAATTCCTGGTCAGTTGCTTATTCTTTTCTCAGTAGGAGCCGTGCAGTAGGCAGCCGATCAGTGTTTCTCATCATTGATGTTTCTATCTCCCTCTCCATATCCCTTCCTCTCTCTCTCTACAATCAATAAAAACATGTTTTGAAACAAGACAAGTCTTACATAAAGGATAGGCAAATAAATGTGGCCTACATTCACCTGTCAGCAGTACTGCCGATGACAGTTAACCTGTTCACTGAGCAAATGAATGAGTTACATAGAGTGACACCCAACCCCCCCCCCCCCCCCAGAAATCTCAGGGATTTCTTAACTAGGGTAAAAAAAATAAAGCACAATGGTTACCCAACCTGTACAGAAGGCAGGAAGAGGATGTCTCAGAGGTACAAATGGAAGCAACTGCCAGGATCAAACAGAGATGAGGAAACCAAACATTCTTATGTTTCCATGGCTCCCAGGCATGGCCAGCAGGCCTCTGACAATAGTCTCCTTAAAGGGCCAGAATCCAGGAACATGTCTTCAAGAGTTGAAGTCTTTCTACAGTAGAAATGTCCTTTTTGAAGTCTTTGGCCAAATAGTCACTGTTATCCATCCGGGAGTTAAGTAGAAAAACTGGAAGAAGCACTGTGACGGAGAGCAAGTGTCATGCTAGGGAGCCAGTGCCAGGACACGGGGTGGCCTCCTTGATTGGTCCTTGGACCAGGACCTTGGGGCGAAACTAACTTGGGCCTTGGCTGTCACCCTACTCTGTTTCCAGTTGGACATTCCTGTCTCCTTGGAAGAGTTCCTGATGCACCTCACATGGGACACATCATCTGGAGATGGTGGTAGGCGGGGAGGAGAACGGGCCAAAGGGGGTGGCAAACATGGAAAACAAGGAAGTGAACAGGCAAAGTGACTCCTGAGTCAGAAAACACTCAGCTCTCTTCAAACTTCTCCTCTCGCTGACTTTCTTAATAAGGTAACTGAGGGACTCATCAAGGACACCTCTCTTGAGGCAAAAGTCTACTAGCACCTCTACAGGAGCCAATGGTGGCTTTGGCCCCGCCATTAAGCTATCCAATTTTCTCCTCTTCCTCATGGGCTCTGGGGCCTCAGGATCCAGCAGTGAACACACATCAGCTCTTGTTCCAGCCCACACGGTCCAGAACTCCTGATGAGCTCTCTTCTGTAAATTCAGCATCTGCATTTTCCACCTTCTGTGGAGAAAATAGGAGGTAGACAGGGGTATATTAAGATATCAGGGAATAAGACCATGGCCATGAATTTGGGAATTTTGGCAGCTGGGCCAGACACCTAATGGGACTTTTACTCCTTACCCCAGAAATCAGATGCTCCTTGCACTACTGGGATCCTTCCTGGTCCCCACTTCTGGAACCATTTGGTGCTACCAGGAAGGGGGTATCATGTTCTTCCTTTCATCTTCTCATCTTCATCAGCCCTATATATCTGAAACCTATTCCAAGAATGACCTGAGCAGTGGCTCCAAGGCCTCCCTGAGTTCTCCCTGTGGCCCTGTACACTCCTATATCCCAGCTGTAACTGCTCAGACTGCTGAGCCCAACCAGGCCACTGAATCCCCCTCATCTGGGTCAAGTCTCCTGGGAAAGCAGGGCATCTAGCCCATC